TCAGCCTATTTTAGCCGACGTGATTGATAGCAGACGACACGCTCAACCACATCTGGTCATACTATATTAGTGCACATCCGATGGCAAATCCACTTGCATTGCAGGTCACATGAAATGGTCTGTATTGATCTGCAGCTGCCAAAACCGGCAAGTGTGTCAAGCTTTGCTTGATACCTTGGGCGGAGCGCTGGCAATCAGAACTCCATGCCCACTTTTCATTATTTTCAATAGTAAGAGAGATGAACAGTCGTCTCGGCATAAAGGTGAGAGCATTTGTGCAATAACCTACTAGACCAAGGAACTTTAGAAGTCCTTTTATGTCGGTAGAGGCCGGCCAGTCAGTGATCGCCTAGATCTCTTATGAATCGGGCCGGACGCCAAGCTCAACCACAATGTATTCACTAAGTGGTATTCTGCTCGCTTTAAAATTACACTTCTCGATGTTGGCATACAATTTATCTCACGCATCAGTGTAAGAACCTTATGGACGTGGAGTCAATGTATTCCACATCCGTCTGTCCATCCAAATCCAGGCTATAAACAAACACGTCATCGAAATAGCTAGGTGCGAATTGTCGCAAAGATCTCAACAATTTGGGCACATTTGTTACATGTGGCAGGGTCGTTACTTATCCCTTGTGGCATCACTAGTCACTCCCAGAGCAAACCGCTGGGGTTGCTTACTGCTGTGTACTGGATGTCCCGTTCATGCGCGAGGATCTTATAGAATCCATCCATCAGATCCATGAACGAAAAGATGGTACTATTTGCCATTCCATCAATGATCACCTCCTTCTTTGGTACCGGCGTCTGAGCTAGTAACGTTGCAGCATTCAACCTGTTAAATGCGTGCACTATCTGCCACCACTCTGTGACATTGCGCACACAGAAGGTTGGACATCTATAAGTGGAAGTTGACTTCCTCACATGACCCGCAGCTAAGCTATTAGAAAAGAAAATGTGATTGCTAGTACTTGTTCACGAGGCAGTGGACACTGCTTAAGGACACAGTACTTTGAGCCTAGTTTGAGCTCGAACTCGTTAGTTTGAGTCTTCTCATAAAGTACACTGTCGTCCATTGATATACTGCTGAGAGTCATTTCGTTCTCAGTGGACAATATTGCTGACCGAACATCTGTTACGTAAATGTCATCCGCGACGAGTACACAAATATGCTTGACTTCGCCACTACGCAGATCATGCAAGGACCTCTTCTGTTCGTTCGTGGGCAATTGAGTAACCTCCGTAGTTGTATTTTTGGGTGCAATCAGATCAGGTTGGTAAGTGCCTCTACTTGACCCGTCATTGACCAGAAAATAAAATGTATTTGTTATCTCCTGATAACTACAGCCAAGTGTGGAATTGTTCCCTCACTAGCTTCCTATGATTAATTGTTACCTGACACAAGTGACTGTTCATCGATGTCAGCTGACATTTGGCTTGTAACCTCTGAGACACGGCAGTCCAAGGATAAATTCAATTCTTCGACCAAGTCCAGAATGATGAAGTCATCATTAAATTGGTCTTCCTTCATTGTGTAAGTATTTCTTACTACACGTTTTATCTTAATCACGGATTTGCCCGTCGCGAAAAGCATCGTCATCCTCATAAAATGATCCCACGCTCCATATATTCGAGCTCTCTGTTGTCTAGCGATTGGCGTCGTACAAAGTTAATCGACGCCTCTCAATCGACTAGGGATCGAAGCGACATGTTTCGTGTCACTTCTAGTTTCAAGGTAATGAGAGAAACCTAATTACCAAAGCAGCAACACACAATGATTGATTTTTGGGTGCAACTTCGTCAAGAGGCTTGCAACCTTACTTGACGTTGCTGGATCAGTAGGGTGCTCTGCCCCTACTGACTCTGATCGTTTTTTTGGCTATACAGTACGTTTTGCGAAGCAGCAACAACGTCGGATCCCAGCCTTGGACCCCGCTTGGTCGTTTGGCAAATATTGTTACCTGCGGTACGTGGTACCGTGTTGGAGGCATTTCATTCATTTGCATAATGCCCTGTCTTCTGACATGTATTGCATGCTTGCGATTTCTTTTAGTACTTAGGACGAGATCTCTTGCTCTTTACGTGGACAGACATCCATTCATTCTGGGCCTCCATTTTGTTTGTCGTCTCGACGGACAACGGGAAATATAATTCGCGTGGGCCTGTTTCACGCTGAATTACTCCTGTTCCGCAGCCCTTATAGCCTCTTCCGGGGTCTTGAAATCCATTTTGAGCAGGTTTAATTCAATAAAATCATCAGTGAGACCCTGCACGAACAACGCAATCAACATTTTTCTTCAGTGGCTTGACTGTTACATTTAAATGGTAAGGTGACGCATGTATTTGATGTACGAGTGTACGTCACGTTCACCTTGCTCGATTTTCAGGAGTTCAGAGCTAGCCCTTATCTCAGCTGGAGGCGGCTGAAATTTTTGCCTAAGCAGGGACTTAGAGACTTCCAAAGACCCAAAGACGTACAGTTTGTGTAACTTAAGGCCCGATGCCCATATTTTTGCACGCTTTGCCAAGTTTGATCAAGCAAATGCAGATCGCATTTGCTCATCAAAAATGTGGCAAACATCTTAGACATTGTTTTGTGTTTCACGAACAATCTATATAGAGAGTCTTCATCTGCATCTTTGTACTTTGAGATGCCAATCTTTAGATTCTCGGGCCGACGTGTGTACGTCAACACGGTAGCAGTGGCCTGCTACTGTCCCAACAGTTCAAACTGCTGAGCACAATGTCCTCTCATCAGCTCTGTCTGTTGAGAGCCTTGTTGGTGTAGAAGTTTTTTTGTCCGATATTAAGTTCATTCTGAACGAACTTGGTGATGGTGGCGTGCTGTCCGTCTAGCAACGTGGCGGACAGCATCGCACCAACGGCCTCTTGCTCTATCGTCTATCTCAAATGTTCAACGGCATCCCATTCGATTTGACTTAAATGGGGGTAGCTTTTGTGCATGGGATGAATTTCATACCCACCATCGTCTAACATGTTCATTGTCGTTGAATGGACTACGAAGTGCTACCAGGTGTAACGGGGCACACCCAATTCAAATAACTAAATAAACCTTGCACTGCTGAAAGTGCAAAGGTGTGTGCGTCCGACTATCTCCCGTACACGTACGTGCAGAGGAAGATTGCTATACGGGGTAAGAGTACTCAGTAAAGATAAAAAGTAGAACTGTATGTCGTATAGTTCATCCTTTTTATGAATCTCCATTTGACTTCATTTAAGTACGTCTGAATACGAACATGCATTGTAACTATCTGCGCACCACTCATTGCGTGCTTTTGTTGTGGCGAGGCTTTATTGGTTGATATCTTGGTCCAATATCAATAAATGAGCGGCGTGTTACATCTGCGAAGCAGTATTATCGATCAGGATAAATTAAGAGAAATTTATGATTGTCCCAACATATTACTCATTTGATAATTGCCTATTGTAAATTATCATCTAACGCAGCACCCCGTTACAGACGACGCCGAGAAAGGTGATCATGTGCACGGTTTGCATCGACCTGGTGACGCAACGATGGGGCCTACTACTGCCGATAGCCTTCAGCTGATTTCAGCACCGGTATTGTGTAGAGCATATAACTGTGGCTCGAGCAAGCACTCGACGTCAGGCTGAGATTCCTGTTCGCACTAATGCGTGGTAAAGAGCAAATTCCAAGTGCATTAAACAACATCAAAACCTTTTGCCGAGCCAGGTCCGAGAAGTCCGGCGTAGTAGCCACCGAATCAAACGTTTATACGATTATCCATACTGCTGTAATAATTTGTCGCTCACCGGACACTGGACGAACGGCTAACATGGCGTAGCACTTTTATAGTGAAGACACAGCACGATAACTATCATGACCACGCAAAGCAAAAAAGATCTATCTGCGTGCATGGGAGCATTAGTGAGTGATCATGTGGTATGTATCGAAGGCATGGTATGCGCATCTTGCCGAAGACAGTCTGAGGAGCGACTGACGGTTCTATCCCGACAGAATCCTGTAAGTTCCATACTGGGTAGTACAACATCAGCTCTCCGAGCCAAAGACCAACGACATGACATCCCACTGTTGCTATCGCCTTGCGACGTATCCGTAGATAAAAATGTGGACAGTGCTTGGCTTTATCGGCACGTTAACTGTCGAGCATCTCGGTGCAGTGGTCGTGCCGACAGATGCCGCTATCTTGATCCGACAAAACAAGTGAAGGTAGTAGCGTTGGGCACAAACTAGACAAATGCCGCGGCATTGTTTTTCCTTCCCGGGCACAGCTAGTGTTGGAAGACCTATGCCGAAGCGATGACAACGTTTCGGTCAAACACACGGGATTCGGTGTTCTTCGTATTGGTAGCATGTTACGCGCTGTAGTACTGCTGTCGACGGCAGACAGAGAGTGAGGACTACAGTCGATCGCTTGAAGCTTGTCTGTTTCGTGATACGCTGTTCAAGCCCCAGTACTAGCATACAGGTTTTTTGCAGGGTTCTTGAACCAATGTAGGATAGCGGATGCAGAGTAAGTGCCAGAGAAGGTCACGGTCTTTTTAGTCACTCTTCATTTAAAAAGATGAGTAGCGACAGCAAGTTATGTTTGATAAAGATCATGTGCCATGCGCCAAGGAGTCGAGATGCAAATGTAGTTTGGAATGTTCATCCCCATGAAGTAGACTGCTAGAAAAGTAGCTCTTCTTGTGTTCTAGTTCCGTTCATTGTCTTCGTGCTAGTACATCACGACTCAATTATTGGTAATCTGTAAACCGGTCAATCGTACGGATTCATTAATTATCGGCCACTTCTTCTCCCCATTTTCGCCACCTTGGCAGATATGCATGTGACTTCCATACCAAGTCGGTTCCAAGCAAGTGCATTCGTTAATGGCACGAGATGGTGCAAGATTGTTACAAATGTCGTGCCGTAGGACCCTTGAAAAGGCGCAATTGCGCGTCCTACCACCCGATTAGTTTACTTGATACTCCTCCCCCCTCCCGGCATAAAGCTAGAAGAGACTCAAATCCTCCAAATCGTCGTCGTCACCCGTCTCCTGCAATACCTTACGCGAAACAACGAGGAGAAAGGCTCCGATCGCACCGACGACACCAATAATGACCACCACAAGCGTCTGGTCGAAAGACGAAGAGCTGGTCACCGTCGAAGAGGCCGATTTCGTCGAGTTCTCAAGCACGTCAGCACTGTCTGAAGACTCCTCCGACCGACCTGTCGATTTCGTTTTGCTCGAGCTGAATGATGGCAACCATTCCTTCGCCTTAGCACTAAGAGCTTCATGATGTGGCGGCAACGCACGACTTGTCGGTACTGAAGGCGGTGTGATCGTTGGAGCCTCGTTTGCCGCACCCGTAGCACCAATTGTCCCATCGTTATATAACTTGCTGTCTGCATTCGTGACAGGGCCCACATCCTTTGCCCCCTCGTCGGACAGTTGAACGTGACCAGTGTCCTCGTTCTTATGATCCCTCCTCCGCTTTACACTGCATCGCGTGTTGCCTGTAGCCACGATGGACGAAGATGCACGCGGCGTCATACGAACCTCGTGGTCCGCAGCTGCAGATGAACTAGAAGGACTCACCAAAGCCACCCTCGTCTCCTTCTCCTCCTTCCCCATCAATAAACTACCAAACGTCACAGACTTGTCGCCGTTGAGCTCACTGCCGTCGCTAAAGCTGCCCGAGTTCCACGCTCTCGTCGAGCTCTGCACTACTGAAAAGCCCGCGACGCCTCCACTCACTGCGTTTGACCCGGAACCTGCTGCATCCCACGTCTCCGGACTCGCCCCAACGTCACGCAGAGCGCGGGCGTCCGTCGTCCAGAGCGGCAGGAGCGTATAAACTACCGTCAAGACGAAGCAACGTCGACGCCATCGCGGCGCCAAGTACACGCACATGAGTCGAGTCCTATTAAGAGCGACTGTTCTCGACTGTCAAGACTGACGAGGGCGCTGATGCAGAGACCAATCTGAGAAGATGCGGATGAGGATGTAGCGAGACAATGGGAGGCCACACGGTTGTGTCCAGCGACTTTTCCACGTCTTTAACAGCGTGCGTAAACCCGCCGAGAGTTCGGTGCAGAAAAGCTGACAAGTGCTTCTTCAGTTCGTGGCTTACTCGGTGGTAAGCAGGACAGGGAATGTGCGATATGTTTGACCATCAACCACATGGCCAGCGGTCGCACATCTGAATCGACTGAGGCAGAAGGACCTGCGAGGAGCTCCAGTGCAGGGTTGTCGCAGCAGGGTATTTCTGAGCGACTTGGTGAGTAGCAGGTTATCTGGGACGTCCTTTCTACTGCGAAAAGGACAAGAACGGTGGATTCGCAATGTATGTAGCCTAAAGAGCGGGTGACTAACTAACTGTGCGAAGCAGCCGTGATGTGGCGAGTGGTCACCGTTACGGGCGTCCATCCATTCCAGCGAAGGAAATTTACATATGGTACTTGAGAACTCGTCATGCGATGGTTGAGCTGCTGAACATATTGACAAGCTCCGTTACGGGTTGTACAATAGAATCTGATGTGGCAAGTCAAGACCAGGACGTACTTGTCTGCGCGTTGTGTCTACAGCCACGTCACGTAACGCCGTTGCTCGCCAACGTTTCTCTGATTGACTTGCCTTGCTCTTCAAGATGATGTTTTATGGTGTTTGGTACAATGCAGCTACACTTGGTAGGTCGCGACGACACGAATCGAGCAATCGAATCTACTTCACTTGATGTCCGTCAGTCCATGCGCTTCAAAGATGGCCTTGAGCTCGGCAATGACGCGCAAAAGTTCGACATGTGCCTTGCGGAGCGGCTCAAGCGCATCGCCTTCTCCTTTGTGCAGCTCGGCAAGGATGTGACTGCGCGTAGGAATCGACCCGAGCGCGGTGTTGACGCCTTTTCGAACAAGCCACGGATGACGCTTGCCAAGAGTCTCCTCGTAAGCCTTGCTGGCGCCGCTGTAGCAGTTGTCATCGCTCGAGTCAAGCAGCGTCAGGCGCAAGCAAGCCTCGACGAACTGGATAAACCACAACAGCCGCAAGAGACAGCGAGAGCACGACGGCTTCTTCTTGCCACCCACATCGGCCACACCCAGACCCACCTCTTGTTCAATCACCGCTTTCACACTCTGCTCTTTCCACGACGTCGGTTCAGTCCACATCTCGAGGTTGTGGTCAATCGACGTGAAGTAGGCTCCAACAGTACTACCGGCGAAAGAGGTTGCTCGACCGAAGACGCCCAGAAAGCCGCAGATGACGTTGCAGGTGTCCATAAAGCACCCAAGGCTCAGGTTACCATCAGGAGCCCGTTTCCTGACCCCTTCTTCAAGCGATGCCACAAGCTTCTCCACTGTAACGCCTTCGTCATCGAATTTCTGCTCAATCACCGTCACCTCCAAGTCATCGTCATGGGACGTGTCAGGCAACAAAGGGATCACCGAGTCAGGAGCATGTCGCCTGCCACCAACGCCAGCGACCGACAACGCGCGCTCGCGCTCATGTTCACAACTGCTAGAACTGCTTCTATGACGATGTCGACGGTGACGTCGCGTGTGCGGTTTCTTCGCAGCGCCATTGCCACTTCTAGGCCGAGACAGCTCGTCAAACAGCACCAAGCCCAGCAAATACGTGCCTAGCGTGTGTATCGACAGCAAGTTGTCCAATGCACGCTCTATGAACGAGTACGGCAGCTGAGCTCGACTTGAAGCACGTGTATCAGAGACCAGAGCACTATCGGCGCTCCAGGTGTAGAAAATCACACGCAGCATCACAAGCACAGCGAGAAGCAGGAGCGACATCCAGTGGCGCGTACGCAGATGAGACGAGTAAGATTGGACCCGTTCTCTGTTGTGCCGTGTCTTCAACATTCTCCCAGCACCAGCTCCTCGGCTTGAAACAGCACCGACTCCAGGAAACTTGTTCACCTGAGCTTTGTCCTGTGCATAACTCACCTTTGTCAGCTTCTGGTTATGTGACTGCACCGAGTGGCGACGTGACTTGCCGTGGCCAGCCGAGAACGCAGCACTAGCACCAGCATCAACTACAACATTGTCCTTGTCTCGTTTGTGCGCCCTCATGTCTTGATTGTGCATCGCCATTCCGAGCCGCAGCGCAGCATCCGGGTCCGCATGCCCCGTCGTGTCTTCTCCGCTGCCAGTTTCCGACTGCATGTAGCTCCTCGCACAGGGATCGCAGAGTCGCGAGCCCTTTTTCCGCTCCAGCCGTCGGTGCAGCTTCATCCGGTTCTTGCTGCAGTCGTCGCAGATCTTGTGCGCGCAGAGGCGACACGTGTGTTTCGCGCGGAAGACCGTGAACGACCGCTCGCAGATGCTGCAGCCGCCGCCGCGCGCAGCTTTGCCGCTCGTCTGCGCGTCGCTCTCGTCGTGGTCCTCGTGCTCGCCCACGTCGTCATTGAGCTGGAGCGGCGGCGGCGGCAGCGGGGGTGGGGGAACCGCCGAGCTGCGCGTCATGAGCTTCATGTCCTTATGGGCGGGACTCTTGCGCACGCGCACGTTCTTGAGCTCGTCCACGACTTTCTGTCGCAGGTTCCGACCCGCGACACGACCGCTGCCGTGTGTCAGGAGGGGCGACGTCGTGGACGCCGACGGCGGAGAGACACCGCCATGGCCGGCAGCGATTGGCGGAGGCAGCACGGCAGTGGCTTCGGCCATGAGTGCTGTTGATCGACCCGCAATGTGGGACACGCACGGGGAGGCACGGACGTGACTGATTGGCTGAAAAGAGCGCGCGTGTTAGGGCTGCAGCGCGAATAAGCAAATAAATGCCTGGCGCTTTTGTCCTTGTGGGTGCTCGCGCTAGGCAGGAGAAGGAGCGGGTTGGTGCCTTTGACTTGTCGTTTGTATGTAAACTGAACCGAGGGACAGGAGGTCACGAACGCCAGGTGTGTTGTTCGTCCTGTTTTCAAACCCTGCAACGGTCGTAGGGTGAGAAACGAGGGAGGGACACGAACGAACGGCACTCGTGACGTTGCTGGACCGACGCTCGTGGCTCTGATGTCCTCGAACTCGAACGTCCTCGAACGTTTCGCGTGGCGCCCGACGTCAGAAATAAAGGACAATAAAGTAATGATCTGCTCGATTGAAGAAAGGGCGACCGCAAAGAAGCCGGTTCGTTATCGACCCCTCGTGACTGGAGTGAGGCGCGAGGTATAACGTCCGACTGTGCGGAAGTAGAAGTTGCGGGAACGGACGTCACGGATGTGGTCTTAGTAATGACGTGGTGCGGACACATTCAGAGCGACGACACGTCGGGATCTGCCCGGGCGGTTTTTAAGCGCATGAGCGGACTCAAGCACTTGTAAGGAAAACGTTGGTTTGCACATGACGAAGTAGGCAAAGTGTGCATGACCTCGATACCGCGATCTACAGGTTGATGTGAACCTCACAACGCACAGGATCATCCCAGCACGTTCTAAGGAAGTGCTCGGCAGAGAAAAAACTTCGGGCAAACTGTCTCAACGTCTCGAAGTTCAGTGGCTCGTCTTCATGCTGACCGAGACCCAGACGAATGGCATCTGCCTTCCTGTAACCTTCAGCCTCCAGCAACTTGCACTTGTCTTCTGCTCCTCGTATTCTCCGAAGTTGCGACGAAGCATGTAGGAGGCAGTTGCTAAGCTGCCTTTACATCTTTGCTTGGATTTCCCTTTCTTTGTCATGACTTCCGGGTCAGATACCGCCCCCTGCGCATTCCCGATCGCGTAGCTGACGTCTCACAAAGACCAAAGCCCGTGCCTCTGTCCCTTGTCCTGCGCGTGGGTCACCGCATTCTGTGCAACATATTTCTGAAGTAGTCCTCCGACCCAACCACTTGACTCACCTTCTCTACATGATCCGGTCCTGCATCGGGTTACTTGGTCGTGGGATCTATTGCTCGCTTTCTATTTCCACATGGTATAACGTGATTCCCCGCTCAACATGGTGCGTACTTGCGATCATGCTTTCAGTCTCATGTTGAGTATCGCTCACGATACTTTACGAACGACGACGTCTGCAAGAAACAGCTGGCATCTGAATTTACACCATTTGGGCATGACTACCATAGCCTTGCTCCAATGTAAATACGAATCAAGCCTCAACATAGCTTAAGTGACTCTTAAGGAGCACGAGGACGCTGTAGTTGTGGGACATTTCGCGTCGAGGCGAAGTAACCACGAACTACCGGACATCAGACAGCACAATAAGAGTTCTTTTCGCTAGCGTTGGATATTCTTTGGCGACTCATGAAGTGCAAGGAGAATGGAAGTAAAATACGCCGCAACTCTAGCTCACATAAGCTTCAGCTTCTGCACGCTCTTCAGCACCATGAATGAAGTCCCGACACCAAAACACGTCACCACGATGCCAACGGCCAATGCCACCCAGCCAATTGTAGCTCCAGGATCCGGGAACGAGTAGCTCCCAATGTCGGAAGCCCACTGAGGTTCGGTCCAAATGGGCATCGACGAGTCCACAACGTCGTAATGCAGCACTGTCGCGGTTCGCTTGATTGCTGGCGAGCTGGCTTCGTGATGGAACGCACTCTTCGTAGCGCAAATTCCCGGATAAACGCACTCCATTCCCTTTCCACCGTCAGCGCAGCCTTGACTTTGTGAGCAGGAGGCAGCTGCATCAGCAGTAGCATTCGAGACCATTGCTGATGCGAGAAACGCGCGAGTGAAGAACTCGTAAGCATTCGGGAAAAGGCGCACAGAGAAATCATCGTCAGACCATGATTCGTTGAAGTGCGAGTACATCGAGTTGTCACTATGCTTCAAAACAAGCACCGAGCCGTCCACGTCAATCGGACCGGGATACAAGGTCGCAGGGACAGAGTAAGCTGGAGATGCCGAGTCGGACAGGCTCAGGTACTCAATCAAAGTCGTCTTCATGTATTGAGAGTAGTCATTCATCAGGTCGCAGCTCCAGTCCGTGGTAATGCACAGCAACATTGACCTGACCAGAGATGCATCCACTGCAATCTTGTCCATCTGTGCAGCTGTAGCATTGCTAGATGCGAGGGTAAACACGCTCTCTGCTAACACCTGAGCAGCCTTTACAACAGCATCCACATCCAGGAGCGTAAACTCGTCATGACGACTGTTGTACGTTTTTTCTGAAGGGAACGTGTCGCTGTAACCAGCTAGCACCGCACCCACCAAATCGCGCTTACCGTACGCAGCGTCATTCACAAAAGAAGACAACGGCGTCGGAGGCAGCGAGCCTGTGTTGCCCTCGACGACAACAGAAGCAGCTGACGGAGCGCTCGTAATGGCGTCCACGAGACTTCTCGAATCGTTCGCGTTGGGATTCACGTGCAAAGTAAAGTTGCCAGACTTGGGAAGAATACCCACCTGGTCAACTGCAATCGCGTACATAATGTTCGCGAGCTTCAAGTTGGCAAACTCCGTACTACTCAGCATCGGGTACGTACAGAAGCTCTTTCCCATGGGTGACACTGAGTCCTCAACGGCAAACGCACAAGCGCCTTCCGGGTCCTTGGTAAATCGTTGCAGATCCGACAAAAACTTTCTCGATCCAACAAAGCCAAACTTCTCCGCCTGAAAAGCGGCAAACACCACCTTTTTATCAAACGCCGAATCCGGTAATCCCTTGAGTGCATGAGCTGCTGCAAGCAGCGCCACTAGTCCCGACGCTGCCGTATTGGCACCTGGTGCCAGCACGTGCGACAACGACGTCGCATCCATTCCAGCCATGGCCATGACAATCTCGTCCGACTTCAAGTTGCCCCTCATGGCCCACGAACTCTGTCCCCCAATGGGATCGCATCTCGGACTGCGATGTCCGTAAATATTGACAAACTCGAGACACTTGATCGAGTCCATATCTTCCGGTCCAAAGTAGTAGTTCATGAACGCCTTATACGTGGCTCCAGAGCCACTGTCCGCATTCTTCTGCGCGCGTTTCGTAAACTCGGCCCCGACTGAAGCGTTTTGCAGCATCACGACTGGGAACGGCAGGAGCTTCGTCAAGAGCGCGTTGCCCGTCGGGTTCCACTTGGTCTTGTCACTTGCGAAGGGGTTCAACACGCCGTCTACTGTCCCGTCTCCTTGCGGAGTGACAGCGTCAAACGACGTGTTCGTAGCTCCCGCATCGGGGAAGATAAAGAGACCGCCAATGCGGTCGAAACGGGGCAAAAGCACGTCATACTGCACGAGCGATTCCGCCATAACCAACACGTACTTCTCGTCGGATGTCACTAAGTGCGAATTGCCCGATATAAACTTCTGCAGGTCTTGGGAACTGGCGATCGGGTGCAGCGTCGCCATGTCCGTCGTGGAGAGACTGCGACAACCGATACTTCCTCGCGAGTGGAAGAGACGGACGCACTCGCCGCCGGTGGTGACCAAGTGGTCCGGCACTCCTGCAGTCACAGAAGAGGCGCGGGACTCGCACCACTGGAGCAGCAGCAGCGCCACGGGCAGGAGAAGCGGCGGCCGGACGGGGAGCAGCTGCATCGCGAGTGCGTGAAACTGAATTTATGCGCGAGGACTGCGGAATGGAATATTCACGATACCGTCGGTTCAGCGGCCGTGTAGTCGAATATTTGCAAACGTGTCGGAGATCGCTGCAGCTTGTGGTCGGATATTCTCAGTAGCGCGTGAGCATCGAATTGTTTTTGACCAACATTCACGATAGTGTCTGCGATGTCGTTATCGAGTAAATACTCATGATTGTCGTTTCTGATTAAATACTCAGATTGTCGACAGCACTTCTCGTGTCCATTTTAGACAAACATCGACTCGCTTAATTAAATTGATCCTCTTTTGCTTCCAGTAAGGAATATATTTATAACTATATATTTATCAATTTATTCGTTCTACGCATGACCAAGCGACGCGAGCTGAATGTGCGCGAGCTGCTCGAGCTGGAGCGCCAGATCTACCAGGAGAGTATCGACCGTGTGCGGCAGCAGCAAGAGCAGCTGCGAGCCGGGACGCTGGACGACTTTGTCCGGCGCTGCCAGCCGTTCGAAGCGGACCGGGAGCAGGAGCTGCAGGTGGCGCAGCACCAGTACCGCTTTTCACTGGCAGACGCGCAGAGTCTTTTTGACTTTGACGTGCAGCAAGCGAACGACGTGTTTCGGTCGGACGAGCAGCAACTGAAGCTTGAGTTGCTCGAACGGGTCCGACGTCGGCGACAGCGACTTGAAAAGCGGCTTCAGTCGATGAATGACGGAGTTTTTGACACGAGCAACTTGGAGGCCGTAAAAACGACACGCGTGGACAATATTGACACCCAGGTGAGCAAACTGGAGCCGGAAGTGCTGGAAAAACAGCTGCGACGCGCGCAACGGAGGATGACCACGAGGTTCAATTTCCGACATTTGTCGCGGGGCATTTTGCCGACTCCGGAACGGATTGTAGGGGACGTTTTCACCGAGTGTGGGAAGGTGCAGAGGAATCGAGAGAGAGACGAGGGCGTGAAGATGGGGGAAGAGGAGGGGGCCGAGCAGAAGGTGGAGGTGGCGATTGGAGAGAGCGGAGAGCAGTTGGTGTGTCATGGAGTCAATGGGGACAGTGGCGAGGTCATGGACGAGACGTTTCAAGTGGGAGACGCAGTGGTGTTAGCGTCGCAGTTGACCGAGGAAGACTTTCAAGGATTCGTGTCGGGTCTTTCGCAGGAAGAGGTCAAGTTGGTGCTGGTGTGTGGATCGCACGTTCGCGTGACGCTTGCGCGACTACGTAGTGGTCAGTGCGCTCTACGAAAGCAGTCGGAGGCAGTTGTTATGGAAAAGAAGTCGTTGCCTGGTGTGGCGGCGAGTTTACAAGAGCTGGTGCGGGATCCACCGGATGTTCGTCGACGCGCTGCTGCAATTATGAGTACGATGAGCTGGTTTAGTGATGCACGAATGGGTATGTGATCTTACAGTGTTTGTGTGTGTGCGCGTGTACAGGCAGACTCGAGCAGAAGACGACCAGCGATAGCTGATGCAAAAAAGAGCGTGTATAGTATTGGTGGGAAGGACCGGTTCTGCTGCGACGTGCTCCTAAAGAGGCACTATTTGTGCTGGTGGAATCACCACGTCGTTCCTTACCGCGTCTTCTTGTACTCTACGGGAAGATCAGGAGCATCAACCTCCAGCAGGGGACGGAAGGTGTTGACGAACGTGTAGCGCGAGAAGACTACGAAGAGACGGCGGTACCACACGAACTGACTCCGGTGCAGTGCCATGGCCTTGTAGTTCCACCATGGCCGGCAGACAACCACGACCTGCCGCTCCTCTTGCGTCTCTTCTCTCTGGCGGGACAACCACAATGACAGCACCGTATCCAGTATCCCAATATACTTGCGCACGAGATTCGTGCTCTCCAAAGCCCAGCCTCGAACGACCTTCTCCTCACTGGCATTTGTTGTTGCCGCAGCAGCTCTGCACGTCTCCTGTCGTTCACGAAGAGCTCGTTGGACACCGAGGTGGGTCGCAATGTGGTTCGGATGACCCGACACGCCGTGACCATCGAACGTAAAGACCTGCACGAGAAAAACAAGCAGCTTCAGCTGAAGAGCTCAACCCCCACCCAGTCAACAGCAGCAGCAGCAGCACAGCAGCCACAACACGAACCGCGTCGATGCTCTTCTGGTCCACGTATTGCAGCACAATCGCCGCAATGCGGGACACATCCCAGCGGTTCTCTATGCCATCTTGAAGCTCGGGCTCGTCCAGAACGTGGACGTGATCCGGCACCAGTCCAATGTGCACGGCACAAGCGCGAAGTTCCTGCTCCCGGACCGTCCCCAACCCATCGAAATCCCCCCGAGAGAGACACAGCAAATGGGTCTCCCACATGTCTTTCCCGCTGCTGGTTCCGTCCTGGAGCGAGTGCACGAGAGGGAGGAAGAACATGCTCTCGTCGTCTGGATGGGCAGTGACGACTAGCGCCCGTTTCGTTTGGACTGGAGATGCGTCCGGTTGGCGCTTGAGAGGAGCGACGAACACCAGCGCTGCCGTGACAAACAGGAGGAGGTTACCGCCTAGTAAAAGGGACTTGAGCATCTCGAGGAGCGTCTGTAGCTCCTGGTCGTTTAGCGCAAACACCATCTTGGCGCTTGTTTTTGTCGTCAATGAGGCAAGTTTGACTTGGTTGTTGTATGACAATTGCTATCGACGATGAAAGGGGTGGCTACTTTTTAGACGGCGAGGAGCTCCTGGTATCGAGTGAGAAATGCTGCCGCGGTGTTGGACACCTGGACGATCGAACTCTGTTGACATTGCCGCATCTTGGCGACCAATTGGTCGGAAGTGATCGCGGTGAAAGCGCTGGAGTCCAGAAGAAAAAACGCAATCGACAGTGACGAGACGATGACGTTGAGCTCGGAAGGGGTCAACGCCGTTGATCGGTCGCCTTCGAGGGGTATTTCGAGGATAAATGGCTCTAGAATCGCCACTCCGTCCCCTCTGATGAAGTGCTGTTAAAGTGGAACGTCGGGGATGCAATTGCAGATACCTCCTAATGCAAATTCCACCAGCTGGTGCTGTCGAGCAAGCTGCAGTGACGAGGAGGACGGACGTTTTTGTGTCTCAGTCTCGTTGTCGCAGGTGGTCTTGTTGACGTCGGAAGGGTCTTGGCTAGCGGTATCCAGAATGTCGAGGAATAGGTCCATGATGCGTAGAGTACAAAGGGACGTGTAGTTGATGGGGTCGTAGGCGAAGTTGGCCAGCTTTGCCACGATTTCCTCCTTCCGGAGAGTATCCGGTGAGCGCTGGAACTCGTCGACGAGCTGTTGCAAATACTCGTGGCGAGGTGCTGCATACTGACCTTGTCGGGCGCGAAGACGGCCACGCGAGGACAGCATTGTCCGGGACGTTATGGGGCAGATCAGACGAGAAATGGATGGACGGCAGACGTTCTCCACGGTTTCGAGTGCACAACTGTATTCCAAAACTCTCGAGTACCTTGCTACGCACACTGCCACCATCGTCTCGTTGTTCTGCTCTACAGAAGCTTGTGGTAAGGCTTGATAGGATTCACGATGCTGCGGCACATTGGGTTTGTGCAACGGGCGCAGTTCAGCGGGTACGTGGGCGAATGCAGTTCGTTCGAGTCCAAATGTTGCTTGACAATATCGGCTTGGGCCTCGAACAGCAGAGGCTCGTCATTCAGTGAAGGACACCGCTGGAAGTTCTGCGAAACAGAGTAAGATGTGAGTATGCGAAAACAAGTGTGTGGTCTCCACCTGGCAGCCCATTCACGCACCGTAATACCAGCTTCCTTGGCCTCCTCCCCGTACTCAATGTCAATCTCGTACAGTGTCTCAACATGGTCCGACGTGAAAGCAATGGGCACAGCCATGACATTCCTACCGAACACGAAATAAAGCGACGTCAGCGTACTACTTCAAACCAGCAGACAGCACCAATCGATCCGACACAACTCACTTATGTCCCTGTTTCCCATAAAACTTGATCACGTCGCTGGTGCTCGGTCCCATCCATGGCAAATAGCCGACCTTCGACTGCCAGCTGAGAATGTGCGGATTCTTTCCGCCCAACTGCTTCATCACACGATCGGCCGTCGCAGCAATCTCATTCACGTACGCGTCACCCTTGTACACCGTCTTCATCGGCACCGAGTGCGCTGAAAACATGATAATGACCTTGTCTCTGTCTTCTGGCGCGTACTGCTCCAGTCCAATCTTCACCCGGTTCACCACAGCCGCGATATAGCCCGGGTGCGTGTTCCAACGATCAATGAGCGACCACTGGAAGTCCTCCTTCATATCCAGTCGATCCAACTCACGCCACAAGTGGTTCATACTCGAACCCGACGTCGTGCAGGACCATTGCGGGTACTGCGAGAAGGCCACGGCGCGCGTGACGCCGTCCTCTTTCATCCTTTGCAATGATTCTTCAGTGGACGGGTCTGCGTACCGAAAGAAGACGTAGTGCTTGTGTGGAGCGCTCTACAGCAGCAGCATTTACACAATCAGCAGCCACCACATGAGCACCTCCGACTCATCGTCAAGCAATTATGAAAACAATTCACGTACCTGAGGTCGAATGTCGTCCAGGATCTTGCACATGTGTTCGCCCTGCAAATTCGTCCACTTGAGGATGGGAGAACCGCCTCCGATCTGCGCGTACTGGTCCACGATCTGAGGCGTGCGGCGCTTGGCCACCCACGGCCCAACCAAGTTTTGCATGGGACCCATGGGGATCAATTCCGGATCCGTGAACAGGTTCGTGAGGAAGCTCTGCACCTCCGGGAGGGTGGACGGTCCGCCCATGTTGAACATGGCGATGGCAGTGGGCGCCTTCTTCTTGGCAGCAGATCGGATGGCGGACATGCTGGTCGGTCGGATCCGCTTGTCTGTCAGGTGGGATATCTCACTTTGCGAACTGAAGACGTCGTGGGTCGGACACGACTTCGTCCGTGATCGGATGGTATCGAGTTTGAGAGGGAGGGACAACCTCACAATGAACGGTCGGCGACCGAGTGATGTTGACACGCTCGAGCTTTGTTTTACAACAACGACTGATTATGTCGATAAAAAGGAAAATAACCTCACAAACGACACTCTGGTCGAAATCGTGGACCAAAAAGTGCCATAAATACCGCCACAACTACCAGCTCTCCGCGTGGTCCACCTGATGAAGATATCGCGCTCGACACTGGTTTACCGGTATCCCCTGCCGCCTAACTCTCTTCCAGTTCGACCGAGATGCCGCGCGAGATCATCACTCTGCAAGCTGGCCAATGCGGGAACCAGATCGGCATGGAGTTCTGGAAACAGCTGTGCGTGGAGCACGGGATCTCTGCCGACGGGATCGTGCAGGACTTTGCCACTTCAGGCCACGACCGCAAGGACGTGTTCTTCTACCAGGCGGACGACGAGCACTACATCCCTCGCGCTCTTTTAATGGACCTCGAGCCGCGCGTAATCAACAGTATCAGTACTTCTGCCTTTAAGAACTTATACAATCCCGAGAACTTTTTTGTATCGAAAGAAGGAGGCGGCGCCGGCAACAATTGGGCGTCCGGGTACCACCAAGGAGAGAGTCATCACGACCAATTGATGGAGATGATTGATCGAGAAGCTGATGGATCTGACAGTCTCGAAGGGTTCGTCTTGTGCCACTCGATTGCAGGAGGCACAGGCTCAGGCATGGGGTCGTACTTACTGGAGAACTTGAACGACCATTTTCCGAAAAAGCTGATCCAGACGTACTCGGTATTTCCGAATCAGTCGGATTTTCAGAGCGATGTGGTGGTCCAGCCGTACAATTCACTGCTTACAATGAAGAGGTTGGTGCTGAATGCAGACTCGGTCGTGGTGCTGGACAACACGGCGCTGAACCGCATCGCAGTGGAGCGATTGAGGGTGGAGAACCCCACGGTGTCGCAGCTGAACTCGCTCGTGTCAACGGTCATGGCGGCCAGTACCACAACGTTGCGGTATCCTGGCTATATGAACAATGATCTGATTGGATTGGTGGCATCGTTGATTCCCACTCCACGCTGTCATTTCTTGATGACGGGCTATACCCCGTTGACGATTGACGCTCAGGTGTCTGCCGTGAGGAAGACGACGGTGCTGGACGTCATGAGACGTCTTCTGCAACCGAAAAATATCATGGTGAGCACATCGACAAAGACAGGGTGTTACATCTCGATATTGAACATCATCCAGGGTGATGTGGATCCCACACAAGTGCACAAGTCGTTGCAACGTATCCGTGAAAGGAAGTTGGTGCGGTTTATTCCGTGGGGACCGGCGTCGATCCAAGTGGCGCTATCGCGCAAGTCACCGTACATGGAGACGGCGCACAAGGTGAATGGTCTCATGCTGGCCAATCACACGAGCATTGGCGCACTCTTTCACAAGCTGCTGCTCCAATACGATCGACTGAAAAAACACGGGGCTTTCATCGAGAATTACCGGAAGGAACCTATGTTTGCAGAGAATTTGGACGAGTTTGATAGCGCACGCGAGGTGGTGCAGAATCTGGTAGACGAGTACAAGGCCAGCGAACGCGCAGACTATGCGACGTGGGGACAGCCACCCCCACACACTGCTACTAGCACCGCAGACGACGTGCGTATGTAGTGCGTCATACAATGCTCGCTCCTTTGTGGGCATGTCTGCCGCCAAACTTTGAATGAGCAAGACTGCGTGGTCTATTTAACTCCATTTCATCACTCCCTTCTCGTTACTTCCACTGCAACTAGCTACGTCAAAGCACGCTCGCGGTGGATCACACTTTCATTAAATTTGACCAGGAACACCGTTTTGTTCCGCTGGCCACCAGGAACTTCGACTGTGTGCGCCGTAACATCTGCCAGGAAGCCGCTGCTGCATAGAATACCACGCACGATGCCTGCAATGTACGCCGCGCAGTCAAGCTGCCCGAGGTCAGGCGGCACCGACACGAACTTGTTCGTCAGAGGCTCGAGCTCGTGTATCATGTACTCGTTTTCGTTTTCGGTACTGCGCTCCAGCGCATCGGCAGCTTTGCCGAACAGCGCTTTCCAGCAGTTGGACACGATGAACTGGAGCATGGCCAGTAACCGGATTTCACGCCGTCCCGCCTTTTCGCGGTGACCCAAGATCTCCAAGACGCGGACACCGACGCCAAACCCAGCAACATCAAGTCTGCACGATGGACATTACAGCACGAGATACACATTGAAAGTTGAGGTTCTTCGTGTGAGTGGATCAATGGACCGACTGGGTCGATGACAAATGTGGTTGAAGTCGCACCGGTTCTCGAGGTCCGAGATATTTTGCACGCGGCCTTGGAAATACTGGACCATCTCGGAAAAGAGGAAGGAAAAGACGCTGAGACTTACCTGTGCGAGCAGAGCCACGTGTAAGTAATTTAAACAAAGGCCGAGATAATTTACCATATTCCAGGAAGTTTAGCTGGTGTGAAACTCGTGGACTCACTGCCTTGTGACAAGGAAGCGTTGCCGAAACCTGCTTCTATTCAGTGTACTGATGTATTTAACACTCACTTCGCTCTTCCCGCGGCTCAGCGGCCGGTCCAAAATGTGCAGATTCGATGAAGAGACGCCGCGACCACCTTCCATCAGCCTGTTTTGTACGTCTTGACGACTGCGAACTTTGGGCGTACTTAGTGGCACCCGCCAGTAGCCGACGAACACTCTACTCAGGTTATTCCACAAATGCTACAGAAGTTTTTACGAAGTTTATGGCAAACGGAGTGCTGCTGTCTGTGGCGTGTTTACGCGTGGAATTGAGCCCTCATTGGACCCACTTTTGGTATAAAATCATACTGTTCACGATCGCTTTACCTTGCAGACTCTTTAGTGAGGAAATGCAAGCAGAGTATGGACAAAGGATCTGCTTTCTACATGACGAAACGGTGACAATGGCACTGGCCGCATTCACAACCGTGCTGCAAAAGTAATTTTGCCTTACTCTCTCCAGTTCCTCTCACCAACGGGACAAGTTCACTCTTTTTCATCTAGTGATGCGGCTTAGCTATGAAGTTAACGATTGGGTTTCGGAGAATCTGGCATATGTAACGGGGCACCCTGAAGCTTGTACTGGTGACAGTACAAGCTACTTATTCTGATGACAGAATAAGGCGGTGCCTCGTAACTTCACGTACACTCGTACGTGCAGAGGAAGACGGTAAGAAGAAGCGAGTACTTGGTTAGAGTGAAAAGTAGAGCTGTATTTATAATAGTTAATGTCTGCAATAAATCACTATTTATCTTCATCTAACTATGTCCAAATACAAATGTGTAAATCAGTTATCTGCTCACCACTCATTGCGTGCGTCTATCGTGGCGCGTCTTCGTTGGTTGATATAATGGCCTATATCAACCAATTAGGAACTACTTGGAAGTGCTACAGAATATTTGTCCTTATGACAATATTCTGAGAATATAACTCTTATAGTTATATTCTATTAACAATTTCTTATAAGTTGTTATGTAACGATTCACCCCGTTACATCACCCCCCCTTAACCATCAGTCACTTTAGTGACTGATTGACTGAATGGATACTCGTCCCAAATCATTTGGGACAGGGTTTGCACTTGTTGGTCCGCGTCCACTTTCCAACATCTCATCGCATGGTAAACAAGCCCATGCGATGCGCGAGCAAGGCCGCCGAGAGCGCGTCTGCACGTCTCTGTGCGGACGCCGAAGCAGAAACAACAGCAACTGATGTCTCATCGGTTGCTGAAGCGACCCAGCCTGTGTCACTTGGTGATGCAGGCGCTGGTCATGAAGACACTCGTGTCTTCACAGAGTACGAGCTCGGTGTCTCGTACTCTCCTGATACGGATGACGGATCCGTATCGACGGCGATTGAATATAAGCCGCCTGCCAAGCGTGGCATGGACGATGCTTTGCGTCGCAGCATCTTTGGTTTATCTGATGAATCAGATGAACCATCACCGAAGCGAAGGTGCTCGAGGTCGCGAGACTCGGGCGCTAATAGTGGTGTCGGTTCTCCTATGGACACCACTTCACAGCGAGGTGCCAGTACTTCTGTCGGCACGTCGCAGGAAGAGCGGGACCGCAATGTCTTGCGTCTCGCTCCCGAGAAGAAGAAGGCATGGATGCCTCCAAAATCCGTCATGGATCACTTGTCGGCGACGACGAGTGATCGTTATCGAACACGATTGTTCGATTCGTCAAGGATCCATCACCTTGACCCCAGCGCGAAAAACTATCGCGCTGAACATGAATTCTTCATCGATGCTTTCTTTAGACATCGATGGTACAGCGGGAATCACAAACGTGATGGTCCCTCACTGCTTCAGGCGTGGAACGCCTACATCCATAACCTTGAGGATGTAGGTCGTGACGCTTGGAACGACAAACTTATCAAAGCTCGTGATAAGTTTGAAAAGCGAACCCCGACAGGTGCACGCTACAAGCTGCATCGTCTGTATAGGGAGAAAGGGTTACCCTGCCTCTCTTGGGGAGACCAGTGCCCTTGTTGTGTGAACAACTCTGCACGAGCACCTAAGGAGGCTTACCTCCTTACTAGCCCGTGGTGGCGCGTACGTATCTCTACTGAGATGTACGAAGGGATTGACAACCTGAAATCCCTTTGCGACCGTGCCGGGAAGGCTTTCTCCAGCGGTTCTTCTGCGGCACAGGATGTGCCGCGTCGTACTGCTCAACCAAACCCAGTACATCGATCATCAGTTGGGAGCGGGGCTCCCAAGAATCCCAGGACGGGGGATAGCCGCGCCACCGGACGAGATAACTCGTCCGACTTCCGTTCACGTCGCGGTGGTTCAACAGCTGCTCAACTAGATAGCGCTGGCCACCGCGAGAGTCCTCTAATGGAGGTGGAGGAGGAGGAAAGACGCTCTCCACACGATCATGTGGATCGGTGTGTTCCCGAGAGCTTCTTTGATCGCGTAACGCAAGGGTTACGCGACGATCTCGAACATGAGCGGAATAGGCGTCTCCAAATGGCGGACACTGCCTCGAAGCATCGAGCTGAGTTTGCCTTTGCTCAGCTTGAGAACGAGAGAGCTCTGAGATCTCTTCGTGACGAGCTAAGGGTAACTCGTGGGATTGTTGATCGGTCTCGAGATGAGACAACTGCTCTTCAGACCCTTGTCGATGCCCACCATCGGGAGCACAAGGCTCTCTGCGAGATGCTTGAGCGCAAGGGCGTTCTTCATCGGAAGAAGCAGCGTACTGATGGTACGGCTTAAGCCGACCAACGTAAAACGTGGGATGCGTTCGCATCTTACGTGGCAACTCGATCGTGTATGCATTGCCTAGGCGGTGCAATACACGAAATGAGCCGATGCACTTGGGTAGTAGTTTACTGCTACCCAAGTTAGTCACTACATGCTTTGGTAGATTAACCGTAGACAGTAGGACTAAGTCACCTTTAGTAAATAAAAGAGTGTTTGCCCTTTCATTCTTGTCAGCGTTCTGCTTTTGCTTATCCACCGCTTCGGCGATGGAGTCTTGCACAAAACGGACTACCGTTTCACGAGCCAGTATGAACTCATCTGATGACTCGTTAGCTTCAGTGCGCTGTGAGTGCACTGCAGCAACATCAACCTTTTCTTCAGTGAGGGCTTCCGTACTCTCACTGGCATCATCTTCTTCGATATCGATGTTATCGATATCGGCATCAAACGCAATGACCTCTTCGTCAGAGCGTGATGAGAGTGAAACAAATCGGTTTTTGCTCGCGCGAGTCCCTCCCCCCTTGAACCAGAGTTACACTCTTGTAAGGTGGGTACACGCGGATGGCGCAAGCCATTCACGTAAAACGGTGTATGCGTCGTGGACGCATGCACCGAGTTGTTAATGGCAAACTCTACCATGGGCAAGAACTCACTCCAACTCCTAAAGGAGTGTACGTATCCTCGAAGTATCTCTTCAAGGACACGATTGGCACGTTCCGTCTGACCATCTGACTCTGGATGATCAGATGTAGACATCTTCAAGCGCGTTCCGAGTGATTTAAACACGGAACGCCAGAAATTACTGTGAAGCGTGGATCTCTGTCTGATACGAGTTCACGGGGCAACCCATGAAGTCGGAAGATGGTGTCAATAAAGACACAAGCACAGCCACTTGCCGTGATTGTCTCTGGTACAGCCACAAGGTGTACCATTTTGCTGAATCTGTCAACAAAACGAGAATACCCGTATTCCCGCGTGCGTCTTTGGGTAATCCGAAGACAAAATCCATTGAGACGGATTCCCAGAACTCAGCCCGAACCGGTAGAGGCTGTAAAGGTGCACGCAGTGAAGGACTTGACTTCACTCGTTGACAGACTTCGCATGCGCGAACATACTTGCGCACAAACTGATACTGGCGGGGCCAGTAAAAGTCTCGACTCACCGTGAGATACGTTTTCTCTCGGCCACGATGTCCTCCTATAGGAGCATCATGATACTCGAACATAATCCGCAAACGCAGATCAGTATCATCTGGAACGACAACACGTGGTGTGTCACCAGAAACGGCTGTATAATACAGTAACCCGTTGCGAGTAGTGTATCGATCTGATGCAGATCAATACGCAGACGACAATCGTTTCAACGATTCTCGAGATGGTTGGGAGAGATGTGTCAACAACTTCACAATCTCACCATCTTGGGCGTATGCCCGCCTCACATCACCATACAACGTTGTAGATGGGACTGAGGACGTCATAACCGCAACAGTGACTGTCTTACCGTTGGGTTTCGCGACTGTTTCAAAGTCGGGACGACGTGAGAGTGCATCAGCGACGACATTAAGTCGTCCTGGTTTGTACTCGACCGTAAAGTTGTATTCCGCAAAGAATGACAACCACCGCGCCATTCGTTGTGAAAGGTGCGGGCTGTTCACTGCCGTGCGTAATGACGCATGGTCAGTGTAAACAATGAAGGGTCTATCTCCTAATAGATAGACTCTGAACTTCGCGAGTGCATACTTCATGGAAAGGCGTTCCTTGTCATGCACTGGATAGTTCCGCTCAGCTGGTTGCAGCTGACGCGACTGATAGCAGACGACGCGTTCAACGCCTTCAAGATCGTACTGCATTAATGCACAGCCGATTGCGAAATCGCTGGCATCACAGACCACATGAAATGGCCTGTCCTGATCGGCTATTGCTAGGACTGGGGATTGTATCAAGCTCTGCTTGATACCCTCAAAGGAGCGCTGACATTCAGCGTTCCATAACCACCTCTCGTTCTTTTTCAACAAACGCGAGAGGTGCACAGTCATCTCGGCGTAATTGCGTGAATACTAGTGCAAATACGCCGCTAGCCCAAGGAATTTTCGAAGATCTTTGACATCAACCGGCACAGGCCAGTCGGTGATCGCCTTGATCTTTTCGGGATCAGGACGTACACCGTTCTTACCAACGATGCACCCAAGAAGTGGTATTTCGCTTGCTGCAAATATACACTTCTTGAGGTTTGCATACAATTGATGCTTTCGCATGATTGTAAGAACCTGTCGGACGTGGTACCTGTAGACCTCAACGTCCGACTTTCCATCCATAGCCCGACTATGGATGAATACGTCATCGAAATAACTCGGCGCGAATTCTCGCACTGGTCTCAACAGATGTGATACACATCTGTTGAACGTGGCAGGGGCATTACTAAGCCCTTGTGGCATTACTAGCCATTCCCAGAGCATGCCGCTAGGCGTGCTAACTGCGGTATAAGGTATATCCCGTTCCCGCATAAGGATTTGATAGAAGCCATCCATCAAATCCATGGACAAAAAGATGGTACTCTTTGACATACCATCAATAATTACGTCCTTCCTCGGTATCGGCGTCTGAGCCGGTACCGTTGCAGCGTTCATTTTGTTGAACGCGTGCACTATCCGCCACCCTCCTGTTGCTTTTCGCACACAGAAGGTCGGAGAGCTATGTGGGGAAGTTGATTCCCTCACATGGCCCGCAGCTAAACGATCGGCAAAGAACTTGTCGATCGCAAGTACTTGTTCACGAGGCAGTGGCCACTGCTTCATGACACAGTACTTCGAGCCTGGTTTAAGCTCGACCTCGTGTCGAATACCTTTATCCTTCGGTAACTCGCACGGAACAGTTTCAAGGAATACATCCTTGAATTCAACCAAATCTTCATAGAGAGGATTTGTCTTGAGCGATTCCCACGATTGGGAGTCATATCGCTCAATTCGTGTCTTTTCATCGAGGACACTCTCGTCCATAGATGAACTACTGAGAACTCTCTCGTTCTCAGTAAACACTGCTGCTGACCTTATGTCGGCTACACACTCGTCGTCAGCGACGAGTACGCAGATCTGCTTGACTTTGCCACTACGCAGATCACGCAAGAACCTTTTATGTTCGATCGTTGGCAACTGATTGATCTCCGAAGTTAACTTCGGAGGCGCAATCAGATCAAGTGTATAAGCGCCTACACTTGATCCGTCATTGACTATGACATTCAATGTCTCTGTCATTTCCTGGGGACTTATTCCCTCAGGCTTCGAAGGACTTATTCCTTCGTCTTCCCGGGGACTTATTCCCGCGGGTTTCGGGGAACTTATTTCCGCCGTATTTGTAATATTGGGACTTATTACCTTTACTTCCTCTAGCTGGGGTTGCGCAACCACAGCGAGATCCTCTACGAAAGACTCTCCAGTCGATCTAGGATTATCGTTTCGCTTAACCTGAGCGATCGATTGTTTCTCTTCTAGATGTTCCCCGCTAGGGATACATCTTTGTCCCAGTCCACCCGACTTATTCGAGTGGTGGACCTTCGGCGCAGCCTGTGTTTTCTCACAGCCGCCGGAACTTTGCTCCGAAGTGTAACCGTTTGGTACACTAAGGTTTTGTGCAGTCGTACTAACGACCGTACCACAAGTGAGGCCATCGCACTCACTCGTAGTACATCCACACGGTTCTGGACGCTCCAAAACGTTCATCAGATGGCCATCTGATGAACAAGCGGCAGGTATCGTTACTGTTTGATGTTGCCAGTTTACCCGTGGTTCGTACCTTCTGAGCCACGGTATTCCAAGGATGACATCAAATTTGTCATCCAAATCCAATACGATAAAGTCATCGTCATATTGGGTATCTTCTAGCGTATAGTGGATCTTCACTATACGCTTCATGACGGTTACGGATGCGCCTGTCGCAAGACGTACCGTCATCCTCGTAGGAGGTGTGTCACATTCACTGAATTTAAAGTGACCACCTTCTAGCGATTGGCGTCGCACAAAATTGTTGGACGCCCCACAATCGACTAGAGCTCGAAGGGACAACTTATTCGTCACTTCGAGTTTCAAGGTAATGAGTGAGACCTCATTACCTAGAGCAGCAACGCACAACGTCTGTGTGTTGGGAGAAACCTTCATCAAGAAGCCTACAAATTCTCTTGACGTTGCTAGACCAGTAGGGTGCTCCGCACCTACTGATCCTGTCCGTTTTTTGACGGTCCATCCCGTTGTTGCGTCTTTGCACCAACTACGGACCCTCGTCCCTGCCCCTCTCTCATGGGTGGACGGTCACTACGCCCAGTGTCGCGAGACACTGGAAGAGGGGCACTACACTCGTAAGCGTAGTGTCCTGTCTTCTGACATCTGTTGCATTTCTGCAACTTCTTGTAGTCTGTAGAGCGAGCCTTCTCGCTCTCTACATAACAGAGTTCCATCGGCTCTGGACCTCCGTTGTCATATCGTCTCGGTTGACGATACGATGTCGAGCTGGCGCGAGCCTGTCTCAGACTGAAGTCTTCCTGTTCCGCAATGAAAATGGCTTGTTCTAGCGAATCTAGTTCAAGCCGGAACAGGTGAGTCTTGACGGAACCATCCGCAAGACCCTGCATGAACACCGAAACCAACGTGCGTTCATCCACCGGATTGGAACTTATGCAACTCGTGAGATGTCGTATATGTTGAGCGTAAGCGTGCACATCACGCTTACCCTGCTTGAGCTTCAAGAGTTCGGTTCGAGCTCTGAACTCAGCTCTAGGCGGTTCAAACGTTTGTCTGAGCCGCGACTTGAAGACTTCTAACGACCCAAACGCATATGGGTCGTGCAACTTGAGCCCCAGTGCCCAAGTCTTGGCACGTCCTGCCAGATTTGACTGGGCAAATGCAACTTGCATATCCCCGTCGTCGATGCGACGCGCCCTTATGGCGTCGTCCAATTCGACGAACCATCTCAAGAGGGAGTCTTCTTCGACCCCCCTATACTTGGAGATGTAAATCTTCAAAGTCTCGGGTCGACGCGAGTGCATCGACCCACCAGCAGCAGCCTGCTGCTGTCTCAACAGTTCAAACTGTTGGGCACCTTGTTCTCTCAACAACTCTGCTTGTTGAGAACCTTGTTGGTGAAGCAAGGCTACTTTCTCGCGTTCGGCGTCAAGTTCATTTTGAATGAACTTGGCGATAGTAGCATGTTGGGCATCTCTATTGAGAGCCTCTAGCATGACGCTAACAGCATGGATGCCCATGGTCGAACCCATTCGTTCAACCGCATCCCATTCGACATCGCTCAAATGGGAGTAGCCGTCACGCGTAGCGCGAAAGCTTTGGTCATCTTCATCATCCGACATATTCATGTTGGATGTGAACGTGGTCCTTGGACGGACTACGAAGTGCTACCAGGTGTAACGGGGCACCCTGAAGCTTGTACTGATGACAGTACAAGCTACTTATTCTGATGACAGAATAAGGCGGTGCCTCGGAACTTCACGTACACTCGTACGTGCAGAGGAAGACGGTAAAAGAAGCAATTACTTGATTAAAGTAAAAAGGAGAGCTGTATTTATAATAGTCAATGTCTGCAATAAATCACTATTTATCTTCATCTAACTATGTACAAATACAAATGTGTAAATCAGTTATCTGCTCACCACTCATTGCGTGCGTCTGTCGTGGCGCGTCTTCGTTGGTTGATATAATGGCCTATATCAACCAATTAGGAACTACTCGTAAGTGCTACAGAATATTTGTCCTTATGACAATATTCTGAGAATATAACTCTTATAGTTATATTCTATTAACAATTTCTTATAAGTTGTTATGTAACGATTCAACCCGTTACAGCATACATCTCCGCCGCTTCTCCGTACAAAGACAGCATGTTTCTCACGCTAAATGAGGATCACGAAGCATTTCGTATGAATCGCTCTTAGGTCATCATGGCCATTTTTTCTACAAAATCATCGCCAGAGTATGTCTTTGCCACGCTAGAGATTTATGCCGCGCGGTCCTTCAGATCACCCTGGGGTGAACTGCGAGTACTCTGACTCAGTTTGAACTCCTTACAGGACCCGCACCCCTCATTACACTATGGGGCTTTTCGGCTTGTAGGGCATCCGGAAGGCACCGGCCACTCATTGGTGGTTGCTCGTCTACATTATTAGCCTATCTCCGGCGCCCTGTAATCGAACCCCCACCGGGTATCGATCCAGGTACCTCCCGGTCCCAGTTCCAGCGGTCTACCACTCGGCCACTGAGGTCGGTTTTTAAGCTCGTAGAGAGATTTATGCCGCGCGGTCCTTCAGATCACCCTGGGGTGAACTGCGAGTACCCTGACTTAGTTTGAACTCCTTACAGGACCCGCACCCCTCATTACACTATGGGGCTTTTCGGCTTGTAGGGCCTCCGGACGGCACCGGCCACCCATTGGTGATTGCTCGTCTACATTATTAGCCTATCTCCGGCGCCCTGTAATCGAACCCCCACCGGGTATCGATCCAGGTACCTCCCGGTCCCAGTTCCAGTGGTCTACCACTCGGCCACTGGGGTCGGTTCTTTGCCACGCTAGAGCATTCGGAGTAAAGGTCATAGTTGCACCAATATTAGTCGGTACAACATACTAGGTC